ATTTCCATCTTCTGGGTACCTATGGGTCTCAAGAGAAGAATAACATGGAAACAAAGCATGAGCAGCTTGGGAGCAAATCAGAGCTCCTCATGTGGGGGTGTTTGTCTACCTTGGCCGGTGATGTCTGGTTTCACTCTTGGGGGTCTGCCCTGTTTGTGGTCAGACTCTAGCTTCCATCCTCTTGTTGAATGAAGATGGTTAGGTGGGAGCCAGTGAGGGGTGTGGACAAATGAGCGTGGGTGGCCAGGCTGCATTATGTAATGACAGTAATATTGACAAATGATCTGATGCACATGTTGAGTTACTTTGTCCTAGGAAATAAGCTAAATGCTTATTTATCTACTACTTTGATCTTCATAACAACCCTATGAGGTAGGAACTCCTCTTATTACCATTGAACAGATCAGGAAATAGCCTTGAGCACTTTAAAGGAATGTCTCCCCTAATAAGGATCAGTACCTTTCCAGTGAGTGTGCGCAGCCAAAGAAGGGGCCCCGCTCCCTCCAGAGGCCGCCTGGTGTGAGAGAGGCTCCTGTGCAGTGGTGTGAGGACCCACTTGTGACCACTCGCAGGCTGACCCATGCTGCTGGTAATGAAAATGGAGGCGAGCGTGGGGCGTAGGTGTCCACTTCAGAAGATGGCGATGGTTTGTTTGAATGTTCATGTGAAATGGTCCTGGAAAGCAGCATTTTGTATTATCTTTTCCTTATTTCTATTGAGTTTCTCCTAGAAAAGCATTGCTCATTTCCCTGAAAGGGTGGACTCAGTAGCTCCGCAGCCTCTTGCCGGTCAGACCCAAATGGCAGAGAGGGCAGAAAGGAGCTGCGCTCTGGGGACTCAGTTTTTCACTTACTGTGTGTCACGTCTTGTTCCTTCTTAATGGAAAAACGTCCTCACCTTCCTCTTTTTAGATTTTGGGCAACATTTCTCTTCTGGAGGAAAGATTTTGAATCTTTATGCCTCACTCAGGCTTTGGCATGAATACCTGTGTGTGTGTGTGTCTGTGTGTGATTTTTTTTTATCAAAATGTAAAAGAACTTTTATAAACTAAACCATGAAATAAATGAATGTCTTTCTTACCCATATGGGTGTATCAGGGTGTATGTCTCTGAGTGATTAAAACTCGCTCCCCTAACGATTTAGCCAGTTTGATTTGGTTGGAATAGAGGGAGTGAGAGCAGTGTGGGACCCCTGTGCACAGGAGAGAGGAGGGAGGGTGGGAAGGGTGTAAGGATGAACAGGCAGGGCATCTGGATCCCTTGACCGTCAGTAGTGGATCCGAGACTAGGATGTCTGTGTCTGCTCATTCCTAGACTTTTGCCTTCCCCTCAGGCTGCTGAGAAGTGGGAGTCTAGGAACACAACTCACCGAGCCCAGGTGGTGACAGTCCATGACACGGGTTCCTTCACGCGGCATTTATGATGGTCTCACACAGCCCTGCGTGCTAACTCTTAGAGGCGCTGGGTGAGAAGAGGAAGGAGTCTGAGCCATAAACCCGAGGAGCCCCTCCCTTCCAGATGAAGAGATCCAGCGGAAGGTTAGAGAGCAGGGCCATTGCCACACAGCTACTTAGGATCAGGACCATATTTCAGATTCCTTAAGTTCTAGTCCATAGCGTTGAGGTCAAGCGGAAAGAATTATTATGAGAGGTCCAGGGTCTTGGACTTTTTCCTTAACATATGTCAGTTACCCCTAAATTAGAATATGCACTGTTCTCTACAATGCACGTAGAGTAACTAAACTCATTACCACGTGTTCCATACAGATGATTTGGGGCCAGAAGTATCATCTCTCTGGAATCAAAAATATAATTGTCAGTGAGTGTGTTCAAAGGCTTATGCTTTTCATTAAAATGTAAATGCTGTCTGGTTAAATCTACATTCGCCTGTTTGGGGAGTGAGTGTTAAGGGTGCTGAGGAGGAGAACCCTGGCCAGCTGTCCTGGGTGTGGAGATTTGCTGGGAATGTTGAAGATTTGCATTTCTACATTTCTTCCTCCACTTATAAATAACCAGGCTTATTGAAAGAAGACTGTGAATCTGTGAATCTTTGTAGATTTTGAAAAAAAATCTCATTTGGAGTTGAAGCAGAGACTTTTAGAGGTTGGTGAGATGCCCACTCGTGTCATGACCACCCATATATCCACTTTGAGTGGCCCCGGGGCCACACTGCCACCCCACACGGTCTTTCAGACATGCTCCTCCTTCCAGGAGCCTTTTTTCTGTTTGGCTCTAATTCATTTCTCTACTGCTGGTGGAGATTTCAAGACGACTTGGCCTGGGCTGACCGTAGAATGAGGAGCTGTTTGATATTTACTCAGAGGCAGGAAATATGGATAGGAAATAACGATTGACTGGGAAATGTTTTGGTCTTTGGTAGTGTTTCCTGAATTGTGCTTCAAGTAATGCAGCATTCCAGATGTCAAAAACTGTTCTACCCCAAATAGGTTCTGTGCTCAAATGTTTGGAGAACAAAGGGTTAAACAAAATTGCTGCAGGACTTTTCAGGGCCTTGAGCTTAAGGGTTCTCAGGTACAATGTGAATCTTCTGGAGGAGGCTATATGGCATGCTACATTTTTCTCAAGCATATTTAACCACTGATACTACTTGTTTTTTTTTTGTTGTTGTTGTTGTTTGTTTTGTTTTGTTTTTGTTTTTTGCAAAGTATCAGCTGGGACCAGAGTTTATAAACACAAGTTGGGAAAAACCACTCAGCATACTTAAAATTTATAGGCACATTGTAGCCTTTCAAAGTTGGATTTCTGGCAAATTGGTGTAGGCAATTTAGAGAGAACAGAAAAGTGTTCCCTTAGAGTCTTCATCGATGTGAAGGTCGGTATTGCTGTTGGAGAACTGAGACCATAATGGTGAACTTTGATGATGATGATTACTGCAACTGGACATGTAAGCCCGAAAGGGTAGGCATCTCAAAAAGTGGAAATACTGCATCTCACCATGTTTATTCAAATACTGGGCACCCTGGATGTGATTGAAATAGATCTGGTTTCAAATTACTTTCTAGTTTTATGTTGACATAATAATGATGCACATATGAGTGAAATATGTTTTTATAAAAGGAAAAAAAAGATAACGTTGGAGAATAAGAGTTTTTTTTTTTTCTGGAAGTCACAGAAGTGATAAACAAGGAAGATGAGGTCTAGCTTTGTTTTAGATGTGAAAGTGGACAGTGTATCTCAGAACAAGTCTGAGCATGGCTTGGTTAATGTCTGAGTAGACTGGGAAAAACCAGAACTTGGATTTAGAAAATGCCCTTTGCAGTAAGGTATTCATTAAAAAGGCAGACTGAGCTGCTCATTACAGAGACCAGTGGATGCGGCACCAGATACCCTGGTGATTGTGTCCTGCCCTTGAAACCAAGTACGTACTTGTCTATAGGGCACTGTATAGAGATGAGGGGTGAGACCTAGTCCCTGCCGTATGATCTAGTAAAAGAAAGGTGGGGCTATTCTTCTGGAGTACTGACATAGGAAGGGCTTAAGTAGCAGAATGAAACAAAAATTGGGAACTGGAATCAGATGTAAGACACAAGGGCAGGGTCAGCCTGGAAACACAGGTAGGGTGACTCTGGACCCCAGAGGATTGGTTCAGAGCTCTTGACATTCCCTGTTCCAGGTCCTAGACATGAGGGTGGGACTGAACCTGACAAGTTTTATGAGTGAAGAAGGAAAGTTTTCCAGGGATAGAGGAGAGAGGCAGGGATTGGGGAACTAGACAGAAGTTGGAACCCTCAGAGATCCTTAGTCTTTTCCTTTTCCTTGTGGCATATAGTGATACCACTAGGTTTTTCATCGAAGCCCAGATTTAGTGCAGGGAACTTGAAACACCTCCCTTGGTGTTCTCAGGGCGATTTGAGAGGAGTGAGGGTGGCACATAGTCCTGTAGTGCCTGCGACTTTGGGAATTCCATGGTAGTTCAGTTGGACTTTTGTCTCAATGGTTATCAGCTCCTTGAGAGTAGGGGTCATAAAATCAGAAGCAGCACATACAGCGGTCTTTTACTAAACTCCCATAATGTGCCAAATGCTTAAAAAAGGAAGTAAGTCTTATCATCACTTTATAGACAACAAAACTGAGCTTCTGGACAGTCAGATAGCTGTTCAAGTTCTGAGAATCCCATGTGCTTGCACTTAGACCAATGGCTCTCAACATGAGAAGTTTTAAAAAATACTGAGGCGTGTACCCAATCCTCAAATACCTGGATTCACTTCACTGGGGTTGGCATTTGGACATCTGTATTTTTCAACCCCACTAGGTGATTTTTAACGTGCAGCCAGGGCTGAGAATCCTGTCCCTCCACTGTGTCGTCTCGTCTGTGCTGTTGTCCCCGGCACCTAGATCTACGTTCACCCGCGACGAAAGTTAAAGACATGTTTATTGGTTAGTTCAAAAGGTGTTTGTGGCCAGAGGGAAGAGCAGGGAATGAATGCTGCTGGAAGTTATATAGTGCCCCCTTAGAGGCTGGAATTGAACACTTAATGTCTATCAGAAGACAAGGGGTGGCCGTTGCTTACATGCTTAGAGATGCTTTGCAAACCTTCCATTGCAGGTGGTGTTGTCCTCAACCCGGCCTATTACGGCATGCCTGGCCACACCAACATCATGATCCACGAGGTGGGGCATGTCCTGGGACTCTACCATGTCTTCAAAGGGGTCAGTGAAAGAGAATCCTGCGATGACCCCTGCAGGGAGACGGTGCCGTCCATGGACACAGGAGACCTCTGTGCTGACACTGCCCCGACTCCCAAGAGTAAGCTGTGCCAGGATCCAGAGCCCACCAACGACACCTGTGGCTTCACCCACTTCCCAGGGGCTCCATTCAGCAACTACATGAGTTATACAGGTATCACAAGAGTCTTGATGAGTTTGGTTTTTTTTTTATTAAGATGACAGGGGAGCCCTTTGGGGCTGGGAGGGTGGAGGTATGGGGATCAGAGAGGATTATCACGCAGTCAGTCATGCCAGAGAGTTGAAATGTATTTATTAAGACATACCCTCTTTTTTCATGCCTTTGAAGAACTTATAGAACTACTAAGATATTAGGGGTCTCTTTGACTAGATTCTCCTCCACTAAAAATTAAAAGAAAAACACACTTCCATCTTGGAGAGTTAAAAGGAGGGACAAAGCTAAAAGCTCTCTTGAGATCCCGTTGACCTCTAGAACTTGGTTATTTTGGTTCTTTCCCACATTCTTGGGAATTTACTCGAAGGAGAGTCCAAAAGTGATGGACAAAGAGGTTTCTGGGTCAAGGTGGCTGTTTGTACTATTTTTGAAGTTAGTCAAGAAGATGACCCTGGTTAATTTTAAACTGAGTTCCTTTTATTTTTATGTCGTTTTTTAAAGTATCTGATTCTCTTCTTCCAGTATCGGCCAAGGGTTGATTCTTAACTTGCCTACAAAAAAAAAAAAAAAGTGGTGCCATTTTATTTTAAAAATAAAAATGGTGCTTTCCTGGCCCTGGGAACAACTATATCGTCTGGTTTCTTTGTCGTGGATTTGCTTCTTCTTTGTCCTCTCACGCCTTCCCTGTTTCTATCAAAAAGTAATCGTAGTCATTGTCTCCTGATAATAGACTTAAATTTATTCCTAAAATTAAGGACTTCTTTGATCTGATGACTTATTTCCGTGGTAAAAGAAGGAGGTAATTTTTCCATAAAGTCCAGGGGCTTGTTTGGTGATAAATTCTGGAACTAGCTAACAAAGAAAAAAAAGCGATAAACAACAAGACCCTCGCCGGGCCTTTGAAGGGAGGAAAGAGCGGGGAGCTGTCCTGTCGGTGACCCACCAGAGGTTTCCTATCTAAGGCTCAGGTTGGTGCAGGATTCCGGTGCCTCAGATTCATCAGGACAGGCGTGCCTGTGTCCCCCAGGAAGCACGCAGTGGCCCTCGCCAGAGCAGGGGACTAGGCAGGGGGCCGCAGAGGGGACATCTAAGAAGCAGAGGGAGTGTTTGGTGCAGTTTCATGGGAAAAGGCCTCAAAACTAAGATACCTCCTGTTCTAACCCTGTGGATAGTGTACCTGACAGGAAATTTTGCCAGCCCCAAAGGGAAGTTGGGGACCTCCATCCCCAGTCCTGCTGCCTCCTTGACTTTTTGGCTGTCTCATCTCATGAGCATTTCCGCTGAATGCTCACTAACGGTGGCCAAAGTCACAGAGCATGAAGCAGGTGCCTGCAGTTCCGCAAGTGTTTGTGAATTGAAAGGCCGTGTGCTGAAACACTGCCATCTTGTGGTTTCCTGAATAAGCAGTGTCAGTTCAGAGCAACCCGGCACCCCAGGGCGCGAGCCTCACCCGGGTCCAACATCGAGGTAAACATCAAGCCCAGGTTGCTTTGGAGATAAGTGAGTGCTCTCTGCCTCCTCTCTCCCGCTTCCAGCCTAGATGCTTTCCAGACCTGGGTACCTTTATTCATTCGACAAGTGTTTATGGAGCCGTTAAGAGCGAGACGTTGTGTTAGGTGCTGGTGACTTAGGCCCGAACAAAGCAAAATCTGTCCCTGCCTTGGTGAGTGGACTTTACCGGTTAAAACCTCCATCTCTCCTGTTCCCTTTTTCCGTCTCCGCAGATGATGACTGCACTGACAGCTTCACCCCCAACCAGGTGGCCCGAATGCACTGCTACTTGGACCTCGTGTATCAGCAGTGGAGTCAAAGCCGGAAGCCCACCCCCATCCCCCTCCCGCCCATGGTCATCGGGCAGACCCGCAAGTCCCTCACTGTCCACTGGCTGCCCCCGATTAGCGGAGTTGTGTACGACAGGTGAGAGGGGCGCTGGCCCTGGGTGAGCGGGGGTCTTCCCCAGTGGCATTTCTTATCAACAAGGGGAAGGACGTGAAGTCGGGGCAACGCCAGTCTGGAGCCGCGCACTTGAGCCCCGCTGCTCAGGACTGCGCCCGCCAGCCGCTCAGCACTCATCCCCTGAGCGGAGCTCCCGGTGCTCCCGTGTCGGCCGGTGGTGCAGCGTGTGTGCCCGCTCCTTGGCGAGGGGCGTGTCGGGTGTCTCCTTCTGTCACGTCTGGTGGGCTTCCAGGAGCTGTGAGGAGGTTGACACATGTGATACAAATGACCTGACAAAACTGAGGTGGCCCTTGTCACCTGTCTAGGCCTTTGTATGAGGGTGGAACAGGTGTATAAAGACTCACTACTTGCGCAGTGGTGCCCGGAGGAGGGGAGGGGAGGTGTGTTCCTCCAGGCAGTTCTGGGGGTGGGTGGTGGCCGGCTACTCACTGCCACAAGCTGCATGTCAGGGCTTAACTGGCTCGTGGGGGCGCTCTGAGTGCCGTCCCTGCCTCCTGCTGTACCCCGTGCCTGCCCCGCTTACACCTACTGTCGTATGGAATTGTCATCAGCTGTTCATTTTCCTAACTGCCCCACTCACCGGGCAGCTCCTTGGGGGCGGGACTGTGTTTTGTGCCTTTGTCTCTTGGTCGCCACAACAAACACCTAATACACAGATAGATGTTGACTCACAGGGGGAGCTGATGGCGCTCAAATGGCTTTGTGGGACTGCGGGGGCTAAGTGCCGTCATGCACTCAGGATACACTCAGAAAGGAGCGCGGCCAGGAGGTGTGGGGGTCGTTGGTTTTATGGGCTCGGTAACTTCACATGCTAACAAGTGGGAGCATTATTTCAGTGACTATGGGGAAGGGGCTGGGATTCCCAGAAACTGGGCCATCATCACTCACCCTTTGACCTTTCATGGTCAGCCTTGAAACTGTCCTGGCACCTATAGGAGTGCCATTCAGCATGCTATTGTATTTCAATGAGTGTATATTGAAGCTCAAGGTCCACAGGGAGTTGAATCTTCCACCATCTTGGTGCTACTTGCTGTGTCATTCTTTCAGTGGTTGTGCCCTGCCCCCTTCCCTCCTGTCTCACTTGCCCTGAGCCCAAGCCTTGCTATCTAAGTGAGCAATCCAAGGCAGAGAGAAGCATATGGTGGCTAGCCCAAAACCCCACGGCTAGAGTAGAGGGGAGTTGCAGGCATCCCCTGGAATTTCAGAAATGGGGGATATGGAATTGGTTATTTCCTTGAATTTAGAGCTCTCTCATTTAGCAGGTAGGTAGCCCCTCTTCCGTGTGTCACATTTCCCTCCTGGGTGTCAGATCCCAGCTAGGGAGCTGAACGTCCCTGAAGCAAGATTCCATGCACTCCAGCTCTGCTGAAAGCCTGGGAGAGAGGACAGGGAGAGACAGCGAGGATGGGAGGAAGCAGGCGAATCATTTTTTAAAGCGATCTTCCCAGCCTTCTGGGGTCTTGCTCCCTGTCCTTGATACTTTGGTGTACATTTAATGCACAACGTCACTTGGACCCCGCAGTCCTACAAAGCAGTTTAGAACATCACCAGCTCCCATCATCTCACTGGCTCCCTCCGTGAGCCAGCATATATCCCTGTGATGTGAGTAAGAATCCTCTTCCTGAAAGTCTGACCTTGTGCGGCTTGGGTCGCTCTGGCCGAACAGTAGGTCCTCTGTGGGCATGTGCAAACCCGTGTTTTACATCAGTTTATGTAACACGTGTAAACAATTTAATCTTTCAGTGCTCTCTCTGGTACAAACGTTACGATAAAGCAGACATCAGCGCTGGCTTGCCGCGAGTCTGTTGGCAGGAAAGGCTGCAGTTGGCTTCCTTTTCTCAGCGAGGTGGGCTACAGGGCTGAGGCCTCCCGACACGTGCATCGGGGAGACTCACGTCACATACCCGGCGATGTGTGTCACGCCTGGAATTGTGTTTACTCCTCCCCAGTGGGTGTTTGGAGCCTTTATGTCAGAGAGCAGCCCAGCCACGCACTCGGCAGCAGCCCCGGAAGAGCCAAGCGCATCAGGGAAATGTGGTTTGGAGTTGTGTCCACACCAGAAGCTGGGTGCTGCCTGGAGTCAGAGGTTGGAGTGAACGACACCTTTTCATTGCCAAAGTCCCGGACCCTTGCTGGTGTTTGGGAACTTGCTCAGAAGAATTAAGAGACTTGTTGTGACTTCAGGCAATTTCCTTAATCTCTCTGAGCCGGAGTGTCCTCATTTGTAAACAGGCTTCTTACGGGGATTAGGAAATAATTTATGAAAAGCACCTACTGGGGCCATGCCAGCTATATAGAGTGATTAATAGATAGGAGCTGGGAGCATGATTATTAGCAATGCTGCTTTTCCATTATATTGCAAGATTTGGCTTTTCTCCCCCAGCCTGTTGAGAGACCTTGATTTGATGCCTCTGTTTTCAGATGTATAGTTCACAGCTGGGCTTCTACGAGCTGGTAGGTATAAAATAAGCCACAAGGATATATTTACAACATGGGGGATATAGTCAATATTTTATAATAATTATACATGGAGTATCACCTTTAAAAGTGATTTGTATATCATATACATGTGACTTACAGAATATTGTACAGCATGTATACTTAAATAAATTAAGAAGAAAGAGGAAGTATCTGCGACTGGCCTCATCAAGTGATTTCCCCTGCTTACTTAGCTGTTGTTGTCTTTACCTCCTCAAGATATGGTGCTTGAAGAGCTGTTTTTTTAATTGATGTGTAGAAGTGTCTTTGATTTACAATGTAAGTTTCAGGTGTACAGCAAAGCGCTTCAGTTCTACATGTACACAATTATGTATATATTTTTTCAGATTCTTTTCCATTACAGCTCATTATAAGAAAGTGAATATAGTTCCCTGTGCTATACAGTTGGTCCCTGTTGTTTATGTACTTTATATACAGTAATGTGTGTATCTGTTAATCCCAAACTCCTAAGCTATCCCTCCCCTCTTTTGCTCCCTGGAAACCGCGGTTTGTTTTCTATGCCCATGAGTCTGTTTTGAAGAGCTCTTTATGGATGTAGTAATAGTCTCAGGGATGCCCATACGGTAAGGTCTCACAGAGGGGCTGCTGAGGCCAGTCCCTGTCCTAACTGCTGGACATAAAAGAATAGAGCTTGGTGTGGACCTGCTCATTGGCAAAGGGGAAGGAAAGGGAACGGGAATTCTCAGCACCGCAGGTCAGTGCCCCAAGACAGGAGCCAGAAAGTGCAGTGGGGGCCCAGTGGGGAGAGTGCTGGCCCTTCAAAGCAGTCAGGCTAAGTGCCACTGCAAAGGTTACATTGGCTTGGGTTTTGAAGAATGAGTAGGAGCTTGCTAAACAGAGAAACTTGGAAAGGCTGTTTAGCAGGAGAGAGAATAGCACGTTTCACGGAGCTGTGAAGTATAGGATGTATTTGGGAAATGGTGATTATTTCTTGTGATGAGGACGTAAAATAAAATTCATGAAGGAACTGAAGTAGGTAAGGCTGGAGCTGTCTTCTGAAGCACCTTGAATCATGGTGAGGAATTTAGATATGTCTCTATAGGCGCTGGAGAGCCAAGGGGCGTGACATTTCGTATGACTTTTATGTGTGTGATTAAAAGTAGAGAGTCTACAACATAAAACCACATATAGTTAATAAGTTTACTGTGAAAGCTGTTGTCTGTTTTAGTCAGGGGAAGGCAAGGAGCCTTTGGATAACTTATTGAGAGTCAGTGTAAAAGGAATTTTATGTTGAAAGATTCAGATTGTAATTATTCTGTGTTGACTGTTCCTAGGATGGAAGCCCTCTTTCATCTCCACAGGCCTCCTTTATGACTTAGTTAAATTCTTCTGCTTCATAACCTTGAGATTTTCATGTCACTATGAATTTTGCAAAGATGAGGTCTGTACAAGAAGGACGTGAGTCGAGAAGCTATTGTGTTCCCAGTTACCCCCTAGGGCCTCACTACCCATGGCCACTCCCCTGCCCTCAAAGGTCTTCTGAATTTCGTTATCCCAGTTCATCTGATCTCTTCTCCCCATCTCTCCCCCCACCCACTGTTTTCCCAGGGTCCCGGGCAGCGTGTGTGGCGCCTGCACTGAAGACGGGACGTTCCGTCAGTACGTGCACACGGCTTCCTCCCGGCGCGTGTGCGACTCCTCGGGCTACTGGACTCCGGAGGAGGCTGTGGGTAAAGGACCATGGCATTTTCACTTACACCTTGGTGGCCACTGAGAGTGGGGGTGGATGTAAAGGGAGGAACGGGGGCGTGGTGACAAAAAGGTACTGTGTGTGTGTGTGCGTGCATGTGCGAGTGTGTGTGTGTAATTTGCTGGGTATCTCCAGGGCTCTGGGAGTGACTCTGCCTTTGTGTGGATGTCCCACGTGTGCTTCACGTGGTGGCCCAGTGGCTGTGGTGAAGCGGAGGTCAGCACAGAGGCTGGGGACTTCAGGGTGAGATGTCTCAGGCGTGTCGCATGACGCGTGCCTCCCAGTCCGTGGAGCAGCTTTGCCATATGACAACGTAAGCAGATCTCCTACTCCCCTGTGTCAGGAGGGTAATAGAGAACACATTGCAGGGAACAGTCACACACACAACCGAGCCAGTCTGGGTGGGGGGTGGGGGTGAGGTGGACTAGGTGTTCCAAACTAATCGTTCTCTGTTTTATTAGCCCATTAATCACTGGTACTGGTTGTGCTTTGGATGTGATCTGAGCTCGGCTTTGGAAGGGGGAAGATGTTTTTAGCTGTCCCCTTCTCCAGTCCCTCCCCCGACTTTCTCAGTTGCACAGTCACTCACATATGTGTATCATTCCCTTTAAGACGAATTAGAGCAGAAGTGTTGTTCCAATCCAAGTCCAGAAAATGCTGTTGACATGGAGTTTCAGCATCTTTGGGTGAATGGCTTGAACTCATCCATCGTCCCCATCTTCAGTGCTTACCCGGTCATCATCCTTTTCTTTTTCTTATATTACTTAAGATCTTAAAAGCTACTCAGAAAGGTGTGTTGGACACAGTCCTGTCTGAGTTAGTTTGCAGTCTTGACTCTGACCGAAAAGAAGGAGAACATTGGTCTAAGAGTCTGTGGTGTCTCCTTGGGCTCCCAGTTACTCAAATGACAGGAGCCTTAAGGAGGAGGAGGGAAACAATGGACTCGATTGATTATATAGGACTTTTTTCAAATGAGTTTTCAGGAAGAATGGAAAGTGACTATAAAATTTACACTGGCCCTGGGTAGGACTTGTTTAAAGATTGGTATTTCATGAAAGGCCATTTTTGTGGCCAACAGTTTGTCCTGTGCTAGGGTTTGAATGCCTGTTTGACTCTCTGGCCCTGCACTTTTTTTCACTTTAATTATTGGAAAAATGTAAAGTTATCTGGTAGAGGTGAAAGGAGTTACAAGTTCTGGACAATTAGAAGACACTTGTATTGTGTCTCCAAGCAAACCAAATCCACTTTCCAGAGCTCCACTTCATATTTTAACAGAAGATCATAATAAAAACTTCCTGACAGCGCTGCTGTTGAGCTAGCTTCCAGGTGCCTTTACTCAGCTAATATCCGGGGATGACTGTTGGCAAATACCGCTAGGAAATACTGGTCTTCCTTTGCTTTGAACATGTGAAGAATCAACTCATATTTTAAATGTGCACAATGAAAGGAACTGACTTCCCAGCGGAACATGTACAAACACATATATTTACAGATATGATCCAGATGTATTTAATGACACTTTGTGGACGTGTATTGACCACCAGCTACATCCTGAATGCTGTGAGGAGTAGAAAATTGAACCAGACATATTTGCTGCTTAAATCTCATTTTCTTGGAGAGACCTTGCCTGGCACCATGATCTGAAATAGCCCCCAGCCTCACTCCATCATTCTCTAGTCTCTTATTGGCCTTTATTTTTGTTCAGAGATGACATTACCACTTGGAATTATTTATACTTATGGCTCTTTATCTATTTATTGTTGTACCTGTCACCCTGTGGTAAGGTATGTGAGGGCAAGACCTCTCTCTTGTTCACTGCTGTATCTCCAACACCTAGATTAGTGCTAGGTGTAAAAGAGGTACCTAGTCAATTTTTGTTGAATTAATGAGTGAATGGATCCACAATATAGGGAAAAAACAATAGGGACCATAAGATGTAACACACGCACACAGACACACACACCTTTGAACTCATTTCCTCTGCACTTTGAAACATTATTTTCCAAACCTTGAAGGGCAAAAATCATTCCTGTTTCGCAGATGTCATTTGCAAATGTTTCTATGGAACGTTGTAAAGCTCTTCTGCACTAACCCAGGAAGGCAGGGGTTAAATAGTGCTTATTTTATAAATGAGGAAATCGAGGCTTAGAGAGACCCGCCACCGTGGCACAGCTAGTGCTCAGTATCGATTAGAGCCTAACTCCTGCTTCCTAATTTAGCAGTTTCCTTTCAATTCCCCTCATGTGATAGAAAAGAAACCACCTTGTATAGATTATTTCCACAGAGCTGACCTTAATACGTTTGTGATATTTGATTTTTCACCATATATTTGTGCTTGGCTACTGAATCTCCCTTTAATGTTTTTTTCCCCACTTGAGGAAAGTGTTTCTACTTCCTGCCTGCAGTTTCCTCCACAAGGTGATCTGCCTGCTTACACATACCTGAACTAAAAGGGAAGTTTCAATGTCTGGTTTTAAGGTTTGGCTAGCAGTCCATTGGCAGGACGGCTAAGGTGTGATCTTAGGGAATCAAAGAAGTTTTGTGAAGAGCCTAAATAGGATGCCACGAGGCTGCAACAAACACTGGCCTTAATCACAAATAAAGCAGGGCTTCAGAGCGTTCATTTATCATACATTTTTAATAAACTAAGTGCAAAGAATTCTCCTCTGCTCAAGGATTCTGTAAGGATGTGACTCACTTTATCTGCGTGTTTCCACCTAGGATCTGGGTCCCTCCATTCCCAAGGCCATGTTGGATTTCTCTTATTCAAGGGCACCGTGTCAAGGTGCCCATTTGAATTGCTCCCCTTTTGTCCTCAGTCATACTTAACACTGAACCTACTAAGCTGACCAGCTTCCATAAGAACTTGCTCAAAGTTCTCTTCTTCAGCCTTCTTTCTGGCTGTTGATGTGGGATCCTCATTTTTAGTGCTGGTTCCTGATCATCGGTCTTTCTCCTCGTCTCCCTCAGGGCCTCCAGACGTGGATCAACCCTGTGAGCCAAGCTTGCAGGCCTGGAGTCCCGAGCTCCACCTGTACCACATGAACATGACGGTCCCCTGCCCTGCGGAAGGCTGTAGCCTGGAGCTGCTCTTCCAGCACCCGGTCCAAGCCGACACTCTCACCCTGTGGGTCACCTACCTCTCCATGGATTCCTCCCAGGCGCTCTTTGACACAGAGATCTTGCTGGAACACCAGGAGTCTGTGCACCTAGGCCCCTTAGAAACTTTCTGTGACACCCCACTCACTATCAAGCTGCACGTGGATGGGAAGGTCTTGGGGGCGAAAGTCTACACCTTTGATGAGCGGATGGAGATCGATGCAGCTCTCCTGACTTCTCGTCCCCACAGTCCCCTGTGTTCTGGCTGCAGGCCTGTGAGGTACCAGGTTCTCCGTGAGCCCCCGTTTGCCAGTGGCTCGTCCGTGGTGGTGACACATCTGCACAGGAAGTTCACAGACATGTGAGTTGGGCCGTAGGGCTTTTCTGAACCATGGGGCTTCCTGAGGCTTTGGGAGTGGGTTTGGCTTCCTTTTTCCCCATTTTTTTTTTTTTTAGCATTCTGACATGCCATTATTTGGAAAAATGTTCAGAATCTCAGAGGGGGTTTTATTCTAACGTGGCATAGCTGCGATGAAGACAGGTATGTCTCAGAAAGGGACAGGCAGGTGCTCTGACTCTGGATACCATCATTATGATTATGGAGAAAAGAGATTACTAGACGATGTGTTTCAGTTGGACTGAAAGTACTTACCATAAATAGGCTGATCAGAGTCACATACTCCTATCAGGTGACAAAATTTGATTTCTGATCCTTGATGTAACTTTTAAATAACCTGCCCCAGCTCCTAAACTTTCAAAGGGGATAGTCAGCTCTTCCACAGCTAAGCAGAGAAGCCAAGGGTCCTGCAGACACTGTACTTAGTTTCAGGACGTGTTCATTTCTCATTCCTCCCTTCCTCCCTCTCTCTTTCCTTCTCTTCCAGCTCTCCTCCTTCTCCTTCTGTTTTTTTTTTTCTGCATTTAGTGAGTTCCTAAGTGCCTTTGGCACTGTGTGCTCAGTGGTGGGGATACAGACTGAGATCAGATCATTGGCTTAAGGAGTTTCTGTGTCTAGTTTAGGAGACTGGTATCTCCAAAGGCAAATTCTCCTCACCTCATAATTTTCCTCGGAGAGACTGCCCCAAGGGCAGAATTTAGGGTAAAAGAAAAGTTTTATCAGAGGTGCTATATTGGATTGTTTTTACGGCATTAGAAATCATCACAAAACATACTGGATTAAAACAACAAACTTTTTCTCATGGTTCTCTGGGTTGGCTGGGTGTATTCCTCTGAGCTCGCTTGGGTCCAGGGCTGTGTGGCCCCAGATGACCTCATGCACTCGTTGGAGGCTCAGCTAAGATGCTGGCATGGCTGGAAGGATGAAGCACTCTCTTCACATTGTCTCTCCTTCGCTAGGAGGCTTTGCCTGGACATGTTCTCATGATGGAAGGCTTTCCAGAAGTAGGGAGAGCAAGTCCGCAAACACTCACACTTTTCAAGCCTCTGCTAACATTCCTCGTGATGACATTCCACTAGGCAAAGCAGGTCACACAGTCAATTCCAGATTCTGAGGGCGGCGAAATAGATTCTATATCCTGATGAGAGAAGCAGTGAAGTCAAATCACAGAGGGGCATGTGTCTGCAGTGGGGGGAGTTTGTGACCTTTTTTCATTCTGCCATGGCTACAAAAAAGTCAAGTGTTTACCTTGAATTTTACTACCTTTTTCTTCCCATGTTGGCTCTGAATTAGATCAGAAGTCAGTGAAATGGTCAAAAGTTCATACAAATAGGAGGATAGATCATGGGATGGATTTGAAAAGAAAAATGATTATTTTTGGGTTACTTCAATAAGGCAGTTAAAATGACATTGCTATCTAACTTGATATCTCACACACACACACACACACACACACAAAACCTTTAAGGTCAATAATATCCCATTTTTATAGATGAGAGAACGAAGGGTTGACTTTAATTTGGTTGAACAGAGCTAGTAAGTGGCAAAGTCAGGATTAAAATCCAATTTTCTGACTGAGTCTCATTTTGATTCCCTTTCCTTAGTAACTGATTACCTTTTACAAACTCCGACCATTGAAGATTGGGGTTACCTGCTGCTGAATTTTCTCCCCAAGACGTGTAAACACATCCTGACGCTTGCTTCCAGTCCTTTCCCAGCCTCAGAGCGGTGTAAGACTTTTGCACACGGCTGGATGAGACATCAGACAGAAACCACCCTGTAAAAGGGAAGCCATCAAAATTGATTAGGATATAAACCTGGTTTTGCCTTTGAAATACCTGGCACTCTCATGAGAAGAAGAGTGCTTCCCTAAAGAAAGCTAATTTGGAAATTTAAAGGTCCTTAATATTTAGGTGTCTTTCTTATTAAAATAACTAAAAGCCAGTACAGAGGTGTTTGAAGGTGTTTTTGAAACCCCATGACGTCTCCCATTTGTAGGGTGAAGAGTGTGTCAAAGAGGAGAGGGTCTGGGCAAGAGGTGTGTGGACTCCGCTTACGGTAGCCCCGACCACGCTGTGAGAGCCTGCTCTCCTAAGTCCGTCTCGTCCCAGCTGGGCTTTAGTGGCACTTTTACAATCAGTGCAGGCACTGCACAAAAATTAAGCTGAGGGCAGAATTTGTCTTTGGATTCAGCAGCTCCCCTCTTGAACCCCTTCCCCCTTGTCAATGTTCAGTCTCTCCCATTCTCTACTTGATCAGTGCACTGGGGCTCTAGATCAGATCTGATCACACCCCTCCCATCCGTGCTGTCAATTAATTAAAACTCCATGCCTGGTTTATATGTATTTTGGAGGTTTGGAGGTGGGAGTAAATTAACACATTTCTAATTGTGGAATTTCTTGCATCCCCAAAATGACAATGGAAGGTGTTCTCACCTCCTTCTAGGAGAGAGTTGTTCTTCCCCCTAAATATTCAGTCTCTTTGAGATAAGAATTCTCTTGAGAGACAAGAAAACTGTGACACATAGATCCAAGAAGGGCCTTGCTGAGTCCAAACTCTGAAGCTTTCATCTTCAGTGTCTTTGATTACTTCAGGGATACAGAAGACAAGTTGTTCGGTAGTTGGTGGTTTTGTGTGTGTGTATGTGTTTAACACGGTAAAGATACACTCGAAATACCATCCTCCTAGATTATGTAGAATGATTAGTTAGTTCAGTGTTAATGCAGCAAGCATTTTCTGCATCCTCATTATGTGGAACATGCTGGGAATACAGAAATGAAGGTGGTTTTAAACATTCTGCTGCTCTGCAAGACTATATGCCCTGATCTTTGTTTCAGACAATGTGGCATATGTTTAACATTTATATTCCCCGGAACGTTTTATTTTAAACGCCCACAAGCCATCTGCGGGGGACCCAGGGCATGTTCCGCTATGTGGATGTGATGGTTACAGCCCATTGGTTTCCACAGGGAGGTCACACCTGGGCAGATGTATCGGTACCAAGTTCAAGCTGAAGCTGGAGCAGAACTGGGAGAAGCTTCGCCTCCTCTGAGCCACATCCATGGAGCTCCTTACTGTGGAGATGGGAAGGTTGCAAGGTGAGGATGTGCTGTGTTCCTGGGAATGTGTGAGCGAGGACGCCCTGCCCTGCTTGGACCAGGAGGGTCAGCCTCGAGTTTCAGTTTGACTGGTTTTGGAAATGGAAGGGGCAAGGCACTGTGTGGTTCTAGTATCAGACAAAAATCTAGGCCCTGGTAATGATCTTGAGAGACCACTCACATCCCTATATGATCAAGGACAGGTTCACTTTTAGTTAGAGCTCACCCCAGAGTGCTGCGATCTTTGGGCTGAGTCTGTGGGGGCCTTCTTCAGGTTTCAGAGAACCAATGCTGGGCAGTGATTCAGGGAAGGAATTCACGGCAGAGAAGGTTACCTGCCGAATGATTCCGAAAGAGGATGCGAGGGTGTCTTTTGGATCGGTTGCCTAGGACATGCTGCTAATGCGCTGTGTGACCTGAGGAAAATCAGTGGAGCTTTCTGAGCTTCACTTGCTCATTTAATCCCTGGCAGACCTGACTGCACTGTAATTTCCAGCTATTCTGTAAAATCACCCAGGTAAAAATGGAATCGCTCTTTTGATTCTTTAACACACCATAGATTCCTTTTTCTGTTGCCCTTTAGTGACGTCAGTCTAGAGGAACCATTCATCCTGGTTTGCCTGGGACTTGCCCAAATGTAGTACTGAATACTCGCATGTCCCAGCAATCACCCTCTGTTAACCTATTCTGAATGCTCATCTAACCTAATATGTTACTTACACAAAGCTGCTGGGGGTAGGAACCTGGAAGGCCAGGCACTGCGGTTTGTCTAGGATTCCGAATCCTAATAAGATGGCCTATTTTTTTTTTATTGTGGTATAGTCAGTTTACAATGTTGTGTCAGTTTGTGGTGTACAGCACAATGCTTCAGTCATACTATACATGTATGTTCCTTTTCATACTCTTTTTCATTATTGGTTACTACAAGATGCTGAGTGTAGTTCCCCGTGCTTATACAGTAGGACCTTGTTGTTTATCTATTTTATATAAGGTAGTTAGTATCTGCAAATCCTGCGCTCTCGATTTATCCCTTCCCACCCCTTTTCCCCTCCCCCGGTAACCATAAGTTTCTTTTCTATGTCTGTAAGTCTGTTTCTGGTTTGTGAATAAATTCATTTGTCTTTTTTTTTAGATTCCACATATAAGTGATATCATATGGTATTTTTCTTTCCCTTTCTGGCTTACTTCACTTAGAATGACAAAATTTGGGTCAAGATGGCCTATGTTTAATTTCCCAGATCAAGTGAAAGCATCTTATATCATGAAGACCTCATAGGAAGCAATCTATAGACTTTCTTGGGGTTCCATGCCATTGTTTAGAAATCACTAAATATTTTTTATCTTCTCAATTTTCTAAGATCTTTAAGCTTTAGTATGAGTCTATTTCTTTTCATAGAAGTATAAGCACCAGATGTTTCCAGACCTCAGAAATGCATTAAGATAACAGAGGTCAGTTTCATACTCAAACCTTGCTCGGTTGCTGCCACCTTCTGCCCAGCTCAGTCTCAGCTTGCCACGCCTCCTCCTCCATCTCAATTAAACATCTTCCTGGAGACGCCTCACGTGTGCGCAGAACAAATCTGGCCAACGCTGGTGTTGTTTTGCTGTTCCGGCTGCCTCACGTTAGGCCTGCTGCTCACTGGTAAAGGTGTTTATAGGAGTAGGTCACCGTTGCCATCCAGACAGAGCTCTCCTTGAACAGAACATTCAGCCTTACGTCATAGCATCTCCTACAGCCGCCCTCTGATGTCCAGGATGCCACATCTGCCTGTGGGCCTGGAGCAGAAAGAGGGCAGGGCCCTCTTCCTTACCTGATACTGCGTATTCTAGCCTGGGCTTTGGAAAAGCTTCACCTGTAGCAATACCTGCTTGGCTACTGAGCCTCACAAAGTCACTTTCAAAGTGTTCCTTTCACCTTCTGCCTATGTTCACTCTCTGTAAAGAGTCGTACTTAGTTCTGCCATCCAGTGGGAAGATGGCTCTGAACTGCCGCTTTGTCTCGGCTGGAGGCACTCTGTTACACATAAAACAAGAAGGTGCTGCACAAATCATCTAATCCACTGTTTAAGACACTCGAAAGTGGGTAGCTTTATTCTAAGGGAATCACAGATCCCCAAGAAGTCATCCTCAGACTCTAGTTTTAGTAAATTTGTACTAAAAGCTAAAAGTTGTCACTTTGGATATCACTTGTCAATAAAGTTATCAAAACAAACACAGTGGAGGGCTCTGAAGTTGCGAGGTGTATTTATCTAGAAGTCGGTCATCTCAGTCTTTGCTGTCCACTGTGGGGGGCCACGTGTGGCCGCTGAGCCTTTGAACATGGCGAGTGCAATGAAGAAATTAAATCTTGTTTAATTTGAATTTGAATTTAATTTAAAAACTGGATCTTGATTCAGTTATCAGAAAACTAGGAAGTATTTGGAGCAACTTGAGTAGGTGAATCTACTTTTTCAACCACAGAATTTATAAAATCTAAATACAGATCACGTGTTTGTATTGCCATGTGTTGTAAGTGAAAAATATACATCAGATTTCAAAGACTTCATTGCAAAAAAGAGCATAACATATCTCATTAATAATTTCTTATACTGATTAAGTATTAAAATGATAATATTTTGAATATATTGGGTTAGATGAACTATATTATTAAAGCTAACTTCAGGTATTTTTTTTACTTGTTTAATGTGATGCTAGAAAATAAAAGTTGTATATAGGCTCTTATTATACACGGCATGAGATGACACACAGTATACTTAGATTGTCTAGATTAACTTCGAAATGAAAATTAACTTGGAGTTTCCTTAATTTCTTCCAGTATGTTGTTTTTCTCGTGTCTTTTATCCTTTCTCCATTTACAGCTTACCATTTTAAAATACGATTACTATACAATTGTAATTATAGCACACTTTTAATTCATTTGAAAGCATTTTCATATCTAGTTATTTAATATTTACTCCATCCCTGTAAGGAGGTGTACTTTAAACAACGGTTAGTGATATTATGTCCTGGGTCTGAAAATCCTTTATCTACTGAGTCCATTATCTATGTGTCCGTTTTGGACATGGTGAAAAGCCATGGAGAAAAAAATACTAACCTTCAACCCATCTTACAGTAGTCAAATCTTGGTTCTTTCAAGGGGGCTTCCACCCTAGTTTATCTATTTTTTGTTCCCATAATGTGTTCATGTATCCCTCTAAACAATTCAAATTTAGTCATCAGTTGTATCAGCATTTGAGATTCAAAACAAAAATGGTGTTTGTCTTCTCCCATTATTTGTTTCTTCCCCTGCAATATATGTTAGCTGCCACCAGGTGGTACTAGGACCCAAACCATAGAGCTGCACTGGACGGAGAGAAGGCAGCAGTTGGGCTGCAGAGTCTCTGGGTTCATAAGTATTTCAATTCCATAAAATCCTAACTTAACAACAACTGCATCTAGACAGAACAAAACCATTTCAACATACGTAAATATCAGATGAAAATGAATGGAAGGCAAAACCACACATTGATGGGCAGGTGTCCTCCTCACCAGATCAGCTAACTGTCTTCAGGAGTCCACTCATTATTAAGCTGATAGGTCTTTTCTAGTGTAAGAGCATCTTCCAGAAACACTGGCAGGACCCTTGTGGATCTCCAAATGTTTCTGAGCCATGATTAAAAGCAATCTCTTAGTTCCTCCTTGATTCCAGCTTGCACTCTTTAATACATGTAAGGAGTTTTAAGAGCTTGAAATGGCAGTAACTAAATGAGAAAACCTACTTTATGTATGTATATATGTCAATAAGAGTGTATATTTTTACCTTCCAGGAGCCTGGGAGAAGAATGTGATGATGGGGACCTTTTGAGTGGAGACGGCTGCTCAAGGGCATGTGAACTAGAGGAAGGTTTCAACTGTGTGGGTGAGTTTAGGAGCACCTGCTGAGGCTCATGTGCACCTGCCGTGGCTTCTGTCCTGTTTTGGAGGTGTGGCTTATTTTTGTGAGCTCTTGATATCCTGCAATGTGTAGCTGAGTGATAGCAACAATGACATTTTTGTTTGTTTCTTTTGTTGTTTTTTAACACCCGGCCTAAAGTGTGATATGACAGCAGGGCACCATGTTATTTTGTTCATTGGATCTCCATTTGGTCTTCAACAGTGCCATTTGATGTGTCATTGGCACTGTCTAATTTTTCACATATATTATCTCATTTAATGCCTACAATAAACGTGAGGAGACTAAACAGAGGTGCAGAGAACTTAAATAACTTGCTTCCTCCTACTACAGTTAAAGGTGATGATGTCAGGATTCGAGCCAAGGAAGCAAAGCCCTAGAATTTACATATTAAACCACTAGGTCATCCTGCCTCTTAGATTAACGTTACCAAGGGTTGCTCTTGGGTCCCCATGTCTCACATCAAAATGCCAGCTAAGCAGTAAACTCACACAGACTCTACATAAAAATTCAGGTAGGAAATCTTTTAATCCAAAGGAAATACAAGCTATGTCTTGGTGTCTGTGTTTAATAGATAAGATCACGAGGAATGGCAGAGGGTCGTAACATTTCTTGATCCTGGAGACTCACTGGCAATAAGTTATTACTAGGCGGCTTTGGGTCCGCACTCTTGCCACATAAGAAGGCCCTCCAGAACGCTTCTCCCACGTATCAGAGTTACTTTAAAAAACAGTGCATTTTAAAAGATTTCAATGTTTCTAAATCTCAAGATAAGTAGGATATGATTATAATTATGTAGAATTTATTAAGGTGTTAAATATGGTACAGAGCACATAGATGCCCCTGCTCTCCAGAGCAAAATAGTGAAATTATAAAATCTTGGTAATCTGACATCCATCCATCCATCCAACAAAGCATGTTCATTGCCCACCATATACCACAAGCCTGATAGGCTCCCTGATTTCTTCCTGTGTCCAGCTTCCTCCCCTTACAGAAATCTCTTCCATCGTTTCTTGAGAGACAGGCCTCTAGTTTTCGCTTACACACATCTAGCAGTGAAGAATGCACCATGAAAGAGATTATTCTGTTTAAAAATTGCTTTATCTGTTATACAAGTCTTCCACCCTTTTCTGGTTTGGAAACTGAGGCTCAGAGCACTTTAGTGACTCATCCCCAGGCATATAACTAGGTTTCTGCAAAGCCAGTGCTGGAACTCAGCTTTCCGAATTCTTAATCAAGTGCTTTTTCCTTGCTATGAAACTACAGAGGATACATTTTTTTCCTGTTTTATTTGACTACCATTCAGATGTTTGAAATGCCTCTCCATTATTCTCCTTTTCCAACCCAAACATCCCCTCAGGTGATTAGGTTTCCATACCCTTTCCTATTTACCCTAAGCTGGCATACTTCATGTGGTCAATGCCCAGAAAGGAATTTAATACTACAGATGTGGTCTGGCTGTGCAGAATACACCAAACTGATTACCTCCCCTCTTCTGCACGTAAGTGTTTGTTAATGCCACCTCTGTTTACATCATTTCTTTTTGGTAGCACATAGTGGGCTCAAGATGGACACACACACACACACCCCTTCTCCAAGGCAGCTCAAGTTTCATTTAGCTTGCAAACTGACCTTATTTTGTTTCTATCACATTTGATTCCATTAAACTTGGCTCATATTTCCTTACCCTCCAACTTTAGTAAGACTATGGCTGAATAATTTTAACTTCACAGGACAAAGTTAAAATGATCTATTCCACAGTTAGACATTTGTTTCAGTGAGTAATATGCTCATAGTATACTAAGCATGTGTTCTATTCCATTATTTCTCAAAAGATTAGGTTTGAAGAAACCATTGTGAAATGTGTTTTACAAGTGGTCTGTTGTTTTGACATGGATTTGAAAAAGTCAGAGGCAAAAATTTTAAGTCCATGGTAAAAAAAATAGAGAAGAAGCAACAAGAAGCAGTCACTGGATTATACAGATAAATAAAACATATATACATATATGTTATAAATAATACATATTATAAATATATATATATTCATATATACATAAGAATGAATATGTAGTGCAGATAAACTATACATGTTTATGTATACAAATATATATATATTTGTATATCCATATATCTGGAATATATAGACATAGATATAGATTTATAGATTTATATATGTGTGGAATCATAGAAAAGTCACTCCAAATACACACATACTGACTTTGGGCAAGTGAGTCAGAAAGGCCATGGATTTGATGGAACGCAGAAGTTTTAAACCCAAAATAGGTTTAGAATCAAATTCTAGGAACAGTGGCTTATTCCTGACAAGTAGAGAGAGTTACCACAGAAGGGTCTTAGACTTGAAGAAATTCTGAAGGAAAATTGTTAGTAACTAAATAATGATAAACAACTGAAAAATCATCAGAACAGCCCTGCGGTCTATCTGTGAAGAATTTAAAAGTAAAATAACTGTATAGTAACAGTAAGTTTTAGTAATGATGTTACTGAATGCGTACCTATGTGTTGATTTATTTTACATCTTAATCTTATTTTCATGTCCTGTTATTTTAAGTAGAAATGGGAAATTAGAATCATGCTAGAAATATGGCTAGAAAATGCAATAGTACTTAATAAATGGCTTTGTAACTGCATCTCAACTTTTTACATTTGAGAAAAGCTAGTTTGCACATCTGGAGTCGGTATGGTGAGGCTGTTCACTTGGTAGGAGTTATCCTCTGAGCAAGTACAGCGCTTGTCCAGAGGACACCACTTGCTGTACAAGCCCAGCGTTTTTTCTCACATATTCATTATTCACATGTTTGCTCATAACGACAGTCCCTCAGTGTGGGGAGTAAGAGACAGCCCCTGAACTTGCCTTCTGTAAGCCTGGCTCAAAGCCAAGCCATGTTGCTTCTGCATTAAGGGAACTTCGGCAGGTCACTTACAATCACGGAGACTCAGATCGCCCAGTTGAGAAACGAACAAAATATGCAAACCTCACATGGCTGTTGTAAGACTCAAACATAATACGTGTGTAACCCTTGTAAACCTGGAGCTCATACTGTCCATTTCAGAGAAAGTTGCATGGTTAGTTGAAGAAACACAATCTGGCAGCAAAAAGTAATTGAAAACAAATCCTTCCAATGCTTTAACATTTTAAAAAACTCTGAAGAGGATCCAAGGACATAACACATCATACCGTCTATTTAAATTTCCTTTCTTCTTTTACTTACCCCTCTTATATCCCCAGCTTCCCCTAAGTACCTTGCTTATTGATTGTTTAAATTTTCTTTCTATATCCAGCCTATAGCTGCTTTTTGTCGTCCCTATTCCTTCTCCTCAAGCCCACCCCTTTGTATACTTTTTATTATATAAATGGATTTTAACACTCTCCCCAGGGAGAAGTATCCTCTTCTTTAATTGTGTGTGTGTGTGTGTGTGTGTGTTGTCTGCATGCTCAGGGTGGGCATTAGACCAGCTGGTAATTACAGGATTCTCTTTAGCGACTGGAGAAAAAAAAATGTAATTATTTTTATATGACATATATAAAAACACTTTTTCAAATGTCATACAATATTTCTTGTCAGGGGAGCCAAGCCTGTGCTATATATATGAAGGAGACGGGATATGTGAGCCTTTTGAGAAGGAAACCAGCATCATAGACTGTGGCCTCTATACTCCCAAAGGGTACCTGGATCAGTGGGCTATCCAAGCTTATTCTTCTCATGAAGACAAGAAGAAGTGTCCTGTTTCCTTGGTAACTGGAGAACCTCATTCCATGGTAAGTTAAGCCAGAAGAACAGAGTCAAGGCTAAACAAAATTGTGACGTGATTCCCCCAGATGCTTAGTGTGACTTCCATTTTTCTCCTAACTCTGACACCAAATTTAGTTCTTACTGAACTCACAATAAGATCATGTTAAATGAAAAGCTTCTAGACTGGCCATTAAATCTTGTCTCCCACCCTCATCTCACTTACCCTCACTGGTTTTCATCTAGGAACCTTTGGCTATGCAATAGCTGGCTTCAGGATAACACAAAGGCATCTCAAAATTAACCTTATAATTGCACGTCCCAAAAATTATGCTTGGGCTTTGTATTTGGGATAATTTACTTTAAAAGAAGAAAAAGAAGCAGTGAAGAGTCAGAATGCCTGGATGACATTACTGGATCTACCAGTATTATTATGATTATTACTGAAGTGAGGTTTGACAAGTCACCGAATCTCTCTGGGCCCTGATTTTCTCACGTGTAAATTGGGTATGATAATACCTTTTGCATTTAACTCAATGGTTTATTACAAGGATTAAATGAAGGTAAAAATATATATTTAAGATCAAAGTACAATTTGAGTTAAAGAATTCTTATTGTTAAAGAAATTTTAGAGTTAGTACTAGAAACAAACCCATAGGTGTACAATTTTCCATGAATATCTACCCAAATAAACAGCAGATCCTCTGAGGACTGACTTCTGTGAATTATAGTTAAATACTTAAAAGAAGATTAAGGGCTTTGGTTTTTGGATACTATTCTAGATGCTTCCATTGCCAAATAAACTCTGCCATTCGTCATAACAATAAGTAATACAGTCCTTTAAACAGAAGTAAGATTTAACTCTCTAGGTATTTTAGGCCAGGATGAAATCATTGGATTTCAGCCTTGAGGAGACACCCCCAGGTGACTGAGGAACCAGCCGTGGTTGGTCCTCCAGTTCAAAGAGTTTGTGAAGGACTCAGGTGTCTTCGAGA